GTTTGTTTTTTTAGCTTTGTTAATGGTGGTTTTGGATAAGCAGAGATACTGTATTTTTATGTAGTTAAGTCTATCAGTTTTTCTTTTATGGCTTCTAGGTTTTATGTTATACCCAGAAAAGCCTTCCCTACCTATAAAATTTTCATGTATAGTTTCTTATGTTTGATTTCTTTTTTAACTTTAATCTGTGACCCATCTGGATTTTTTGGCATCAGGGTTTAAGTCTACCTTTCATTAATCTGAATCTGTTAGCTCATGTCCTTCCTCTTACAGACGTCTTCACTCTAACTAACCTGAGATTTTTTTTCCAGTTCTTTATAGCTCCAAACTCTACAGATTTTTCAAATATATTGAGAATCGGGATGTCGCTAAAACAGTGTTAAAGGAACGGGGCCTGAAGAACATTCGCATTGGAATCGAAGGTAAAGAATATCCCAGTCAATATCCAGCTTGCACGGCTCACGGAGTAGGTTGGCTCCATGGCCACAGCTTATGTCCTTAAAGCCCAGCTTCGAGGGGCCTAGAGAATAGGCCCACTTGGAGATGACATTCCTGTCCAAGTTTGAAGATTCCTGTTTTTGTTTTTCTTCACCCTTACATATCCTTTTCGTTTTATTTCTAGTTGAAAATGCTTTAAAGCAGCTTCAGGACTAAGTTCCAGTTTACTCCCTCAGAATACAGAGCAGTGAGGGCTAAGGACACTGGTGGGTAAATGGGCTCATGGGCTCCCCATGTGGGAGAGCTTTTCTGCCAACAGTCTTGGTGAGGACCTTTCTGGGACCTAGAAGGGTCCTTCTGAAAACTATAACCGGAGACTCAGAATTTAAATTTATTCCACTACATACCTCCAAGGAATGTCTAGATGTATTGACAGAAGTGCTCTAAGTGATCTTAGAGCCACCACAGTGGCTTCCAGCCTGTGGTCTCCATGGATGGGTCTCAGAGACTGATTCTTGCAGAGTGCTGAAGCCATTCTGGTCTCCCTTCCATGAGTCTCTGACCCTTGCGTTTTGCTGCTCTAGCTGTCTCAGTCCTGCGTAAAGAACCACCAGACCTTCATTGTGTCTTACTTAGGTTGGAAACTAAAGTTGGAAGAGATTTTTGAGATCATCTATTAAATCTTTTCCTACTGTATCCTCCCTTGTCTCTTTGGAAATTGCAGGGATGGAGTGAGAGATCACTCCATTTCCCAGAGCAGCCCATTAAACTGTCCTACCATGAGGACATTCTTCCATAGAGCTAACAGATAGCCTCCTCCTTCTGTCTTCTGTGTGGTTCTAGCCTGTGCAGCTATTGAATAATTTCTCCCGTTTCCATGTGACAGCCTTTCAGATATTTTAGGCAGCATTTCTGTTTTTTCTTTAGGCTTAAACATTCCACTTATCCTTAACTACTTCTCATGCAGGATGCCCTCTAAGCAACAGAATTAGAGGACTAGAGTAGCCATACCTTGGTACCCATACCACAATACCGATTTTTATTTTATAGTATTGAAGCCAGTAAAATAAACGCTTCCAAAATTGGTAAGAGGCTTCTCTCCCCTTTCCATTAGAAGGGATTGTTGTTACTCTCTTCTAGGGACAAGACCTACTAACCTGAGCAGGAGGGAAGCAAGAATGTACGTGGTCGGGGCTGGGAAGGCATGTTCAGAGGCTGGGCACTTCTCTAGTAGATCATGTACTGTCTTCAGTTTTGGGAGCATGTTGATGTGTTTGGGAAGGAGGGAGTGTAGAAGCCAGAGTGAGTGATTTGCTAGAGTAATGAGAATGGCTTTTTCCTTGTTTCAGGTTATCCTACCTGTAAAGAAAAAATTAAGAGGAGACCTGGTGGCCGGTCTGAAGTGATCTACAATTACGTGCAGCGCCCTTTTATCCAGATGTCATGGGAAAAGGAAGAAGGAAAGAGTCGTCACGTGGATTTCCAGTGTGTTCGAAGCAAATCCCTCACTAATCTGGTAGCTGCTGGAGAAGATGTCTTGGAGGACCAAGAGATATTAATGTACCACCCACCCCAAGTGGATGAACTTGACCGGCTAAATGCCCCACTTTCTCAGATGGCTTCTAGCGACTTTCAGGATTAGGGCCAGCTGTGGGCCACCCCTCTGCGGAGCTTCTCTGTCTGCGATGCCCACAGCTGACCTCCCCATGGTTTGTCTCACCCTGAGTAGGAGACATGCTTCTCCCCAGTCCTTTCCCTTTCTCCCGTAATTCATGTGTGTCCTTTTCACTAAGTCTGTGCCTCTGGCAGGAGACGAAAAAGCACTCACTGGTAATTAAGCTACCAGCTTTGCAGCGGCCCTGGTAACTTGAAAATTTTGGGTCTGGTGCTGTTCACTGAGTCTTTGCATAACAGCAGAAGCAGGAAAGGAAGTTAAGACTCCTGTTGCCTCATACTCAGCAAAGCAGTCCTCATCCTTTACATGCTGTTCTTGGCTTTTGTTTTGTTTTGTACCAGGCAAATTACTTCGCAGCAAAGGGACCAAACTTAAAAGGAGACAATCTCTATCTTCTACAAGCAGGTATGAATGGGATGCCCATTAGAGGTTAATGAAGATGCCATTCCTGGTGGCCTCTGTGCCCAGATTGCATCTGGGAAGAACTAGGCTCTCATTCAAAATGTCCAAAAGGAAATTCTTAAGAGCTTAAATTCAGTTTTGTTTTTCATTATTACAGTGAACAATCCAAAACTTCAGATTCTTTGACAGGAATGTCTTAACAATGTTTATGAAACCTTTTTAGCTTCAAGGTTTCTGAGCCTAAACAAACTGATTTATTCACTTGGAATGAAATTTACAACTGAAACAGAAAAACTCCCACTCAGGCCACTTTGATTATCCTGGCTTAGAATCTGGTACGAAGCATACGTCTTCCCCTAGGGCAGCACACTGCTGTGGCTGTGGCTGTGGCTAGGAGACCTTAGATAACGGCTTTTAAAAGCTTCCCAGAGGAGCAAAATTCTCACCAGTGCTCAGTTTCTCAGTGGAAAGATTAATAAGAGCTTGTTGGGTGGGGGATGGCATGGAGGGTGAATCTGGGTAGGGAAATGTCACCTGCCCGGGCTTTGTTCTGGTGCAGGACTTTTTGTTGTATATTCTTTTCATACTATGGAGTTTTTTTATAGTGGGATATTTTAATTTTTGAAATAGCCTGTCAGCCACTCACACTGGGTAAGAAAACCATACTAATGTCATTAAAGGGAAATTAGGCCTAGTAATTTTATTGTCTGTCAGCTCTGTGTTAACAGTGCACAATGTGTGACAGCCCAGACCAGTCTCCACACCTCCCAGTACTGAACCACCTTCCGTGATGTCCCCATGGCTGTTAACAGCAGAGCTAAATTTAGTCTAGAGCCAGATGTAAGTATCTTGAGATTTTCTATTTAACGGTAGAGGGTTGGCTTTCCAGTCACCTACTCTGAGCATTTACTCATCACAGATTACAAAGCAGCACATAGTTTCCTTCAAGTTCTTTAAAATAAGAGCATGACTGTTTTTTTTAAAATTTCATTTCCATGGGATACCGTAGGGCGAGCTACTTGATGCTACTTTCTGACTACCCTAGTCAGTCCTCCAAAGGCAAATTCAGATGTTGTTGATAGCTACTCTTTCCAGGCTGGAAGAGCAAGAATGTTCTTAAGAAGTGTATTCTCTGTGCAGAGGGCCAGGGCCAGCATCACAGGGGACATCAACGCTCTGTTACTTACTCAGAAAAAGTAGTGGTAAGGGGTTAAACTGAGCTATCCCCCACCTACAGAATTATTCTGATTATCACCGGCATCCATTTGTAAGACTGAGGGCCAGCGTTAAGGTTTAGGGTTAGTGTTATTTTGTAGCCAGAGGGGTAGTTTTATTTCTGTGAAACGAATTGGCTCATATTTGAGGTCAGGTTTAGCTTTGACTTTACCGTTACTACATTCACACTCACTTGTAGTTGACCAGCCCAGATATTTGTTGAATGGTGCTTCCTTTATGCTGATTTTCGGTTGACTTCCACACCGTCACAAAGGAAACTTGAGTTAACTTTTATGTAGTCTATGATAAGTGTGTAATTTTTGTTATACAGCTTATATATTAACATTTAATATGTAACATGCCTCAGCTAACACTCTAATTAGTCCTTGCTTAGATAAAAAGCCAGGTATGAAAGGATGGCATGTATTTAACACTGTGTTCTGTTAATGATTTTCCTTAGGCTTTAAAGAACTTAAGGTGTTTTCCCCCCCGAATTGGGTTGATCTGCTTTCGGCCCCAACCCTTGGGGTTTGCATGAGCTGGAAATCTGTGGAGGTAAACCTGCCGCTGTCACCAGGTGGTGGTGACTGAGGGAGAAGCTGGGTGCACAGGTTCCTTCTGGTGGAGAGGGAGGTTTCTTCTGCACCCCATGCCCTCCCAGCCTGGAGCCCAGCATCCCTGTAATTTGGTGGCTCCTGTCAGCCACAGCTGCTCTGTTCCCAAGGTCAGGACATTCCACGGTGGCAGGACCTCTCAGTTCTCACAGGGACAAGAGCTGGGTTGTAGTCATTCCCTTCAGAGTCAGTTACTGGCCAGCTGGGCAAGAGGTGTTTCTAATAAAGGTGGAACTCAGGTTTGGTGTTTTTTCTAAGTGCCTAAATAAGTAAGCCAGGCTGTTTATATAGAAACATCTTCATAAGCATCTAGGTAAAACCATTTTATCTTATTCAGAGGTATCTATCCCAGCAAGCCAAGATAAACCTGAATTTCAGGTTTAGAATCTGAGTTTGTGTCTGCGTATCACATATAGTTGATTAGGAAACATTTGCTATTGAGTTGGGAGCAGGCAAGGAGAGTGTTAAAGTGTGTCTGGTGAGACTACTTAATAGTTCCTCCACAGTGGAGGGAAAGGTATTAAAAGAATGACAGCAAAAAGGGTAAGGAAGCTAGAAAGTAACTGGACTTACTGCATAATATGCAATAGCCAATATTATTTTGAACTAAATTCCAAGAGAACAGCGTGGTGCCTAATGTATGCAGGTGTATAGACATACTGTGGAATAAGCCCGGGGGGACGGATGTATTTGCAAGTAGTGTTCTAGCGGGTGTTCTGTAAGTAAAAGCAATCAGCACAGGCTTTGAATTGTCAGAGCGGAATGGGGAGACTTTATCCAGTAATAGTCGACATAAAGTTAAGAATCAAGGGGTGTTCGCAATTTATTCAATGCCACTTCTTGCCATCATCGTGAAATTGTTAAACTGGGCATAATGACTTCAGAAAGCAAACCTGATGCCTTGCCTGTATGGGCGATGGAGCCACATTCATGCCCTGGGTGGGATCACCTCTGCAGGAGAACATTACATTTCCTTAAAGGCAAAATGCTTATAGGTTTTGCCTCTTTACTTTGTATTACTTTTAAAGTTGCACTTGTTCACCTACCAGTGTTTACGAAATCCTATATTTGGGATGCTTTTTCTATAATAAAAATTATCATTTGTGTCCATGTTGTTTTTTTTAGCAGAAAATAAAATTGGAAGTCAAGGTATTAAAAAGGACTGAAAGTAGCACCCAGACTGCCCAGAAGAGTCTCTTCTGTGCTCGCTTCAGCAGCACATATACTAAAATTAAGTCGTCTTTTTTCCTGCAGCAGCTGCAGGGCTCGCTGGGAGCCTGTGTGTGCTTTTCGCATCCTGCTAATTTCTTGCAACTCACAGGTTCCAGAGCCCTCATGATCAGCCTTCTTGAGTTTCTGGTTAACTTGTCTTCAAGACCCCTTGAACTCTCAGCTCCAACTACACAGGACCCCGCAAAGCCAAATGTCAATCTGAAAGGTAAGAGGACTCACAAACTTCTGTGTTCTAGTTTTGGTTTAAAGCAAGTGAGGAAGCGGGGCAGGGATGAAAAGCAGGTAGGAGATAGAGTGGTCTCTGATGGGCTGTCCTCTAGTCAGGTGTCTCCTCAGGTCACTTGGCCTGCGCGCTTATCGGTAATACTGACAACTTCAAGGGGTGCTAAGCAAGCCAGGGCCTCCCTAGCTGGCCTGCCTTTATCAGCACAGAGGTTAAGAACATGCTCTGAAGACATGGCCAGCAGTGCTTGGTCACAGGGACATATGCTAACCAGGACACAGTTCTTCCCTTCAAAGGGCTTTTATGATCATGTGTAAAAGACGGAACTATAAATAGTCCAGGTCACCAGAACTATGGAGTGGCCCGCTTTTACTGTGAGGATTCACAAGAGGATTCTAGAAGTGATACAGGAGCCAACTTGTGAAGGACAGATACTAGTTGTTTTGGACCTGTCAGCAGGGGAGGAGGTATCCCAGGCCAGCTCGACTATGTAAGCAGAGATGCAAAGGTGAGATAGTTGCTTTTCTCAGGAAAGAGGATGGGGGTGTGGAGATGCAGCCAGAGTAAAGAAGGACTCTCATACCTCAAAGGTGTTTGGTCTTCTTACATAAACTATTGGGAGCCTTAAGAGTCTTATGCAGGAGAATGCTATGATCAGACTTGAAATTTAAAAGAAAAAAAATCTAGGGGAAGGACCAGGGACAAAGCCAGCTAAGAGCCCACGGCAGCGGGTTCAGCAAGGAATGGTGGAGGCACTGGTAGGCTGGATGGCCATGCCCCACAAGTGTGCGTGCTTACCACTGGGAGCCATTAAGAAGTTCCTGGCTTGGACAGAGGATAGAACGAGCTAGAAAAAAAAGGCTATGGGGGGAAGAGTGGGATCTAGAGTTCTTCGGTGGGATCTAGGAAGGTTGGTCACTTTACGAATCTCACCACAAAAATACAGCTGAAGCCACAGTACAGGGGGGAGAGCACATGAATGAAGAGAAGGCAGAGGCATTGCTCTGAAGAGCACAGGCATTTTGAGTGGATTTTTTTAAGTCAGCAGTGTGAGTGCAGTAGGTGGTCATGTAACATGAGGGCTGAAGAGAAGCCAATGGATATGGCACTGAGGACACCAGTGGCCAGAGGAATGATTATAAAAACTACTAGCGTGTTTTGTACATGGGATAACTGATACTAACGTGCCACGCAAGGGGAAGGAATAGAGAGAGAGGCTTTCCAAAGCAATGACTCAAAGTAGTAGCAGGCAGTGGCAGAAGATTCCTATTATGCTACATAGATGAGTGTTAATTAGCAATCTGCTATTCAGAGCCTGAATATTAATCTCCAAGGAATTACCCTTTAACTTTTGAAAGTAATTCTAAAAAGAAAATTTGGATGCACTCCTGAATCAGAGGCTGAATGACATCAGTATTCAGCTTCCTTTTAGTATGTATGCAGTGTAGTTGGGAGTTCTGTTGTATTCTACCTCCCCTTAAAGAGTAGGAAACAGTTATCTACGAATAGGACCAACACTGAGCCCATAGTTCCTTCCCAACATGTTTCCTGAAACCCATGAAACTTGGAAGGAATACATTCTGTCTGACCTGCACTTCCTACCCTGGTTCTTCCTCGTCTCTCTTGAGGTTCCTTTCCCTGACTCAGAGAAGGGGCTAAGAAGTGGGACTCCTCATGCACACAGCATCCAGAGACAGAACCCTGCTCTGGTGGGCACAGGGAGCTGAGAAATCCCATCCTGGGAGCGTGAGAGATTCCTGGCCAACCCTAGGCTGAAAAAAAACAGGGCTGGGCTACAAAGAGTTGTAGAAGGGTCTGCCAGTTGACAGCACTTTTGTCACCAGGTCTTCTCTGGGCCTTACTGCACTGATGACGAGAGTGCCCCCTGTGCTGTAACACTGAACCATGTGAACCACTAACCAGAGGCAGTCTCTCTACACGGACTCCAGTTCAGAAGACTTGTTCTCAGGGAGCAAAAAAGCAGGTACCATCATCCCTGAGACAGTAAAGCACTTGGCCTAAATACAGTGTTCCACCAGCACTCAGCCTCTTTGAATTATAGGCCACATTTCCTTTAAAACATCAGGTTTATACTGTTTTCCACACAGTTTATTCAGAAGTTTAAAAGTTAAAGTGGGCATTTCCCCCTAAAACAAATTATCCCCTGCCACTCTCCAACACACAGGCTGCCACCCTCCTGTTACTTCTCTTTACCCATGCTTACCACACATTCTTGCAAAACACATGGAGGTTAAGACCTCAACTATTTGGTAATGCAAAGAAATACATAACTTCCTTTTCACTAACAAACCATGAATGAAAGATTAAGGGACAAACATTACCTTCATCCAGAGTTAATATTTCCCTAATACTCTTTTTTCCTCTAAGACTTTAAAACCCAAAGTAGTCTCACTTACTACTGTAAATTTGATGTTCCATTTCTCTTTTCTGAATGGCAAGCTGGGACATACTTTCCTTTCTTAGCTGATAGTAACAACCTCAAGACTGGAATAAAATAGTCTCCCAGTTGTTGCATGGCCATGACACTGCAACAGGCAAAGTCACTACACAAGTGCACGTGATGCTGTAAGAATTATCGAAAAATTTTAAAGTGATAATGCATTAATATGGAGCCTCCACAGTTTTCTGGTGCAGCAAAAGTCCTCTAAAGGCGGTGGCAGCTGTGAAAGAAAAGGCACTTTGTGTTGAAACTCAAGAGGTTCTCTCTTAGGAGAACACTCCAGTAGAGAGGCCTGGTCAGCCCAAGCCTGCAGGTGACCCTTCAGGGTGGAGAGGACTATCCGCTAGGGAAGGCATCTGCAAAGCAAAAATTTGTAATCATGATTCCAAGGCAAAATGGTTAAAGTTGGAAAAGGAGAAACACCAAGCGAATACAAATACAGTTGCACCAAAGATTGAGGCGTGAACTTTTACAAGGATTTGAAGGCTGGCTCTGCACTTTGTACTGGGCCAGTTCCTTCAACCACTTCCAAGGAGGTTCTGGAGACAGAGCAGGAGTAGCACCTTAGCCAAGAGGGTCCCAGGCCTCCTGCTTCTGCCTGGGCTCGTCCCAAGAACAAAGTTCCTGTTCCACAGCAACATCCATCAGTGGGATGAAATGGGGTTTTCCACGAGGGCCACAACGCCTTGGCAAGGCCCAGTGGCTTTGGGGACCTTCTAAGAGCAACAATGGCTCAACCTGGTATCCGTTCCCATGAACATTCAGAAAAGCAGCATGAGTATTTCAGATGAGCTGGAGGAGATAATCAAAATGCACTGAGGGTCTTTATCCTAGTACCATAAATAAAGTGCACCATGAATGGAGGCTATACAAAGCCACTTGCCCGAGGCCGAGGTCTGGGGAGAAACTACCATCACCACCCACTGGGAGGGTGGGTCACTTCCTTCAGCCAGGAGGCTGGCTGCTGAAGAGTTACTGCTTTTTTTCCTTAGTACTCTGGAACTTTAAAGTTTCGGTTCTTTGAAGCTGTAAAGAAAAACAAAAAATACTTGGTGGGCTTGGCAGAAAGCATGTCACAAAAATCACAGGAGTTGGCTGATGTTCAATAAGTATATGTTACAATCTAAGTCATGTTGGATGATGGCTGTTTTTTCCCCCTTCGTTCTGATGAACTTAGGAAAAAAGTTTTTTTTTACAAAATCAAATTGGCTCATGATGCTTCTAAGGAAGCAGGACAGCTGTTTGCGGCCGATGTAGCAGAGAGAGTTGTGTCTGCTCTGCAGGTCAGCAGACGCGCTATGGAAGGGAACCCACTTACTGTCGCACTTCAGGAGAGTTTACCATGACACAGTGGTGGGTTCCATAAGCTTCTTGGAAGCTCTTTCAAAAGAGCATGTGAGATGAAAACCGTGATGCTGTACAAGGAAGTCTGCTCTACTTAGAATTCCATTTCAAGGAAACTATTTTGCTGCTTTCATATAGGAGGGTATTGCCCCCCTCGCAGTCAGGCCCTCAAAGCGCTTGTACGTGTAATTGATGAAGACCCAGTCTTTGTTCTTGTAGTCGCTCTCAGGGTGATTACTTGTTGCCACTGGGAAAGAAATAGATGTGAGAATTGATTCACTGCCTTGCCCTGATGTTCTGCTCAGAACTGAAGACCTGACATCCTGAAGAACATACTACAGCTTCCATTTGGGAAAAGTTGTTTTTCACATTGAATTGTCTACATTTGATGTCCTATGTTCTTTGAACCTCATATTTTTCACAATATTTAAAAAGTTTTATTTTCCCATTTCTCTCATTTCAGGTTACCTAAGCTTTAATTTAATAAATAACAAAAGAGCAAATCTTGGGGATTTACCCACCCAGTTGAGCAGTCTACACATGAGAGTTTGTATTCACTTTGAATTTTGACAAGGTCTCACTGCTGCCCAGGGTTAACACTGGAAAGATACTTAAGAGAGCCTGAAGAACCTCCATGTTCTCTGCCCTGCTTTGTAAACATCCCCCCACAGTTTGGAGGTAATAATGCACTAATATGGCAGCAAGAGGTGGTGGCGGTATTACCTGTTGGTTTAAGAATATCAGATTCTGGAAACTCATCGAAGTTTGAGGTATCGTCAATGCTTTTGATTTCAATAGATATTGCCGCAGGTCTCTCTCTGCCAAGGACAGACATGCCAGAAATTACCAGGGTTAATAATCACATGGATCACAACGAATCAAGTCTCTCCAAAAAGACCCCTGGTCTCCATGGGGAGACTGCCTGCAGGCAGGCAGCATTTATTTTCTCTGAGAAGCTTGTGACTGCTGACCAACCACACTAGCTACTACATCCAAACAAAATTATGATGAAAAGTTACGTAACAATTATTCATAGTTAGGACGACAAGAATAATCAGAAGTGAAAATGCAAAGAGCACACTCCCCCTGACAGCCTCCCCTGTCTGCTGAAAAGGGGAGCAACCTGTGTCCCCTCGTGTAGGGCTCTGCCCTTCCTCTACCAAAAGTGCCAAGAGCAGAGTGGCTAAAAATGGACACGAGAGAGGCAAAAGCAAAAATCACAAACACGCAGATCAGAACATAATTATGAAGTAGATGACAACTTCATCTGCTGTTTAGCAACCAACGGATGCTGAGTAAGGAAGTCTGGGAGAGGGCAGGCGGTACCACTACCACCCTTGCCATCACAATCTCATTCTCTCTGCTCCCCTCCCCACCCCATCCTTCTTCCTTCTCTACCTCCCAGTGACAGCCTCTACCATAAGGGAAGGGACAGTCCTGCTGGTGGCCCCAACACTAGAGAAGGTGGTGTGTCCTCGGTAAAAGCAACTCCAACACACTTGTTAGATGGTCCCTTCACTGTGGAAATAACTGCTGGCTTCAACATACGTCCCGATCCTCACCATGAATGGAAATCGGGAAAAGACCCTGACTTTCTAAGAAGCTCTGTTCCCGTACTTGGCTTGCCAGTAATAGTCCTACTAAATTAGTCCTAGGCAAACTACAGACTTTCTGAAATTATCCTGAAAACTTTTATATGGATATACCTGATATGTTCCCAGTCAACACCTTCAAAAAAAGAATTACATTTGATTTCCTCAACTCCAGGGGCTCCAATTCTGTGTTCCCATTCACAGCAGAATCTGGAAAAGAGAGGCCTTTCAGCATACCCGGGTAGTCTCTTTGAAAGAAGAAAAGGAATAACTTCCCCCTTTTTAAAAAGAAAAATGGAAGAAGCAGGGTGCAGATCCAAGAAATGATGGGAAAAAAATTTAATGAAATCACTCATGTGAAAAAGCCTGGGTGGAAGAGGGCAGGGGAAATGTTCGCCGATACCTCAAAATTAGATCCTTGGCTTTCTCAGAAATAGGAACTTCTGGAGGAAAAGTCAAAGTTTCTTTCCAGTTCATCACCTTCTTATATGTCTCTTGTGGGGTCTCAGAACAGAAAGGTGGGTAGCCTGAAATAAAAAAGGAAGGGACTTGGAAGCTTTTATATCCCAGAGCTTTGAATCTGACTGAGATTATTCTCCTTATATGATTCTGTTTATTTTAGTGATCCTATATGTCCTTCCCTCCATGACATGGATAGGATTTCCACTCATCTCAAAACATCCAAACCAATTTTCCATTTCCCCCAAACTCCTAAACCCAAAGTGAAGCTGTACTTCCGGTACCACCAGGGAGCCAGCCAACAGCTGGAGCTGGGAAAGGAAGGGGACGTAGCAGAGCTGCAGATGCGGGAACCACTGTGCCCAAAGAAGAATACAAGGATGAATCATTAAGAAACAACTTCATTCTAGGAATATCCTTATACAGATAATGTACCAAACAAGTTGGATAACAAAAAGCATAGGTTTTAAAGTGACCACCACGCCTCCCCTTGAGAACTACAGGCGAGAGGATGAACAGTCACATACCCTATTACTCCGCCTGCCCTGCACACAGGTCACATCTGCCTCCGCAGGCCTCCCTCCAACGTCCCTGAGACAACACAGCCAGACAGATGCCACACCCGTCATCCACACAGGCCCGCTCAGCACCACCATGGATAGACTTACTCCAGCGCTCTTGGGCATGTGGCCACCCCTGTAGACGTGCCCCCCAAATACAGATACACCATCCAAATAAGAGGGAGAGAAGTTAGAGGGCCCCAAACTTTGAAGGCTTTGAGAAAGGGGACAGCAAGTAAGTCAAGAGTGTGTGTGACACAGTCCCGTTAAGGCTCTCTATACAATGGATGTTTAATAAATGCCAGTGAACAAAAGAGCTGTGAGATGGAGAGGATGAATACGTAGAAAAAAAACACAATAAACAATCAGCAAAACAACCACAGAGCGCCAGTGAGCCAGAAAGCTGTGGTGTCCATTTTAAGGCCCAGAGCTTTCTACCTAGGAAACTTCACTTTAAAAGACAAGGGGTACAAGAGCTTAGCTCATCCCAACTGAAACAGAGTCTGCTATCAACAGAGGACTCCCCTGGCTGCACAGAACAAGTCCTGAAAGCGTGCAACTTACCGATGAGCATCTCATACATGATCACGCCGAGCGACCACCAGTCACAGAGCTTGTTGTACCCGGTCTGCATGAACACCTCGGGAGCAATGTAGTCAGGAGTGCCTACCGTGGAGAAGGCCTGAAACACGCACCACACGTCAGGAGGCCCAGCAGGCAGGAAGGTGCCCAGAGTTGTTCTGGAGACCAAAAGCTACGAGCACCACCAGCGAAATAAGCAGGACAGCCCAGCAGCTGAATGGCAAGCCCGATTTGCCCGAGCACTTCCCAAATGAACACAGCCGTGTCAGTTCACTAGGGCACAGGTTCTGTCAGAGCAGCTAGTCCCGTAACTGACTGAGCACCCAGGACGTGTCATGCTCTGTTCCTTTATACATTTATGAGCCTATGACAAAGCTTAGCAAAGAGGACTGACCTTATCTTCCCAACTGCAGATAACATGCCCAAAACTGCTTTGCCCAAGGCCTCAGAACAAGTGGAAGAGCCCAATTTGGAAACATCTTGCTCCAAAGCATCCTTCTTTGCAGTATATATATTTTTCGTTTGGAAAATCATTAAGGGAAGCTTTATTATCCAAAACTAAAGTTATAACCTACAGGTCAAAGGTTTATAAATGCTTACTTACCAAACTAAAAAATGTATGTAAATAGTTCTTAGCTAAGGAGTGTTTTTCTAAATTCAAGTAATCCACTCCCGTACACCAGGACTGCAGTACTAGGGGAAGGCCAGAGCCTTCCTGTGCTCAGCATTTGAGAGCTTACACATGGAAGGCTCCAATCTAAATGCTTTCCATTGTACATAACTTCTAAAATTAAAAACTACACCTGTGTTGTGTTTTTAAAATACTATGAAATACTACAAACATACAAGAAGAAAAAGCACAGATAATACAACACCCTTGTATCCATTACTCATACTAAACAAGGGTTAATAATCTGCCACCTTTGTCTCAGATCATTTGTCTTTTTAAGATACGAAACTACAAAATCGATGAAAGCCAGAATCCCTACCCACCTCCGAAGACATAACTACCTCGAAGCTGCTGTGCTGAGCTTCAATGGATATTCACGTAGATGACTTACTACTTTTTGTATACTTCAGCTTTTATGAGACTGAGGCGCTGCCTACTGCGCTAAGGAGGCAGGTTATTTCAGCTTTTAATAGAGTCTCATACCCTACTGCGTTATTCTACAATGCTACAGCTTGCTTTTTTTACTCTGCTATGATTTCGAGATTTATTCATGTAGCTTTAGTTAGCCCATTTCACTGCTGTACACTATCCCATTATAAAAATGTCACAATGTTTCTTATCCATTTTCCTGTAAATGTACACGTGTGTTGCTGCCAGTGTTTCATCAAAACAAACGAAAAACCAAATAAACATTCTTGTAACACCTCCTAGGCACTGGTGTGAGAACTTCTCTAGAGGATCTACTGCAAGTAATATCACTGGATCTTGCGTTACGAGCATCATCAACTTAATCAGACATCTTCCAGGTGTCCTCCAAGGTGGTTACACGTTTTAAACATGCCGAGTGGGGATGAGCTCCTGGTGCTCTACATTCACCAACACTTGGCTTTGTCAGAATCTTATATTTTTACCAATCAGATGAATATGAAATGGGATCTATTTTAATTTGCATTTCCCTTATTTCTAGCAAGGTTGAGTGCATGTTCATATGCTAATTTGCCATTCAAGTCTTTTGTGTGTGAATTATTGTTCAGATTCTTTGCCCATTTGTTTGTTTTTGTAAGTTGTACTACGTTTTTTCTTTTGATTCATAGGAATTCTTTATAAATCCACGGCCTTAATCCTGATTCAGGACATTAATCCTTTATAGTTGTACGTACTGCAAGTATCTTCTCCAAGTCTGAGGCTTATCATTTTTTATGATTTTTTAAATGATGTTATATTTGTTATATACACCAAAGTGTATAATTACCAAATTATGAAGCATAATAAAATGAATACTGAGTCCAAATGAACCAAAATATGTATCACTGATACCATTCAAGCTGTATACCTCTCAGTCCATCCTCCTGCCTCTCCTCCTAACCTCTGTGCTGAATTTTACGTTTATTATTCCTCTGCTTTTAAAAAGGAATTTAATCTTGCCATATTGTGTCTCTCAAACTGAGATCTTAGTTTTGTTTCCAAGCTTTGTAAAAAATGGTATCATTCTACAAGCAGTCTTCTATTTGATTTCTCTTCTCAATGTTTTGTTTCTAAAACTGATCCATGATGTCATATGTAGCTTTAAGTTCAATTATTTTCACTGCTCTAAAATATTCTGTTCCAGAATATTTTGATGGACACTGGGTTATTTCTAGTTTTTTGCCATTAGGAAAATGCAATAAACATCCTTATACATGTGTCCTGGTTCAGAGGTGCAAGAGTTTCTCCAGGGTATCTGAATAGGGCTAGAACTGCTGGGTTGGAGAGAATACACTTCAACTGTAAGATAATTCCAAAGTAGCTGGACTGGACCATGTAGATTGTCTTTTCATTTGCTTATGTCTTTCAATATACAGGGGTTTTTTTTCTTTAAAGTAGTAAAATCACCAAGTTTTCCTTTATGATTTGTACTTCTTGTATGTTATTTAAGAAACCCTTCCTTACCCTGAGGTCATAAAGATATTGCCCTGTATTTTCTTCTAAAATTTTTTAAGTTTTATTTTCCATCTGCAGTTTATTTTTATGTATATTGTAAGGTAGGAATCCATTTTTTCCACATAGATAATTATACATTGTTTTCTTTTAAATATACATATTAAATAGCCAGGTTTTTTTTTTAAGTTTTAAGTCTGAAACATGGATTGGACCCTCCCCAAGAAGCAGAAATTTTTATTCTAATTATAAAAGTTAAGAAACTACAGAAACCTTTCAATTTAGATGAAATATATTCCAGCAAAGCTTTTGAGTAAACCTTCTTTGTTCAAAGATTTCTATTATAAAACCAGAGACCTAATGCCACAAAAAAGAATTCCTTCATGATACTAAGGTGTAAAAAAAAAATCTTGGAGTTACAGAATACAGTAAACAGCAGGTGTAAACCTGTCACATAAGGGATGTTCTCACCAGGGAGCTGGAGTCCCTCTTTGGGAGCTCACTCTCACTTTAGTACAAGGTACACAAAGGTAATCCAGGGACTGCCCCCTTCCCAAACCTTTGTCTGTTTTCCATACTAGGGTGTCCTCCAACTTTAAGCCCTTAACACCTCAAATCTAGACCCTTCTTTTTCCTTTTGTTGTTTGGGTATTCATAGTGTCGATCAGAACTATACTGTAAAGAGCTTTGTGGATTGTTAGTATTTCAAACATATGATGTGTTCCAACTTATGATTTAGGATTTTAGGGGAAATAAAGCAATATAATCTCCTACTTAACCACTTCTATAAACTCTACACTAAAAAAAGAAAAA